GAAGCTATTACCCATGCTGCTTGGGTCAAGAATCGTCGGCTCACAAGCTCCCTTGCTGAGGGTGTTACACCTTATGAGGCATTATACGGCGTAAAGCCAAATGTGTCCATGCTTCGAGTTTTTGGCTGTATGAGTCAGTACAAAGTGCTGGATGACAAACGCAGCAAGTTTGAAAGCAAGGCAGCATGGGGCATGCATCTGAGCATGGCCAAGGAGAGTAAGGGCTGGTTGATGTGGGATTTTCTCTTAAAATGAGACATTGTGTCAAGGGACGTGATCTTCTATGAAGACATGTCCCCGTCTTCTTGGAAATCCTTTCCCTCTTGTTTCCTCTCAAGTTCCTCCCTTCTCTACCTTTGCAGATTTCGAACTTCCAACAATCATTCTAAGTGGAGTTCCTGCATCATCACCGCACCAGCAACACGAAGACGTGTCTCATGCTCAAGACCAACCACCACCGCCATCATCTTCTGCTCCCACCCTTCATCATCAACAGCAGCGGCAGCCATCACCGCCTCCATCACAACAACGACAACAACCATCTCCACCCGATTTACCTCCTCCTCTTCAACCCCCTCCTACTCACCAGCAGCAACAGCAACATCCTCCCGACACTCACTCTCTCCAGCCTTCACTCACATCTCTCGTCGTTTATCGGCCCAGCGGCTATCGTCCAGCAGCCCTTCTTCACCTTCCAGATCATCGTCAACTCATACCATCCACCGTGCAGCCACCACCAACAAAACAGCACACACCTCCCCATATCCAGCAACTCCATTCGACAATTCCGACAAATAGAGCTTCAACAAAAGCTCATTCTCAACTAGCAGCACCGCTTAAGTCACCCAACCGGATTGATATCAACTATCCACCAGACACGAGTACGTCAGCACCATCAACATCTTCTACTTCGTCATCTGCGCACTTCACCTCTCATGCGACGTATTCCACTCTTAGCTCACCTCCAAGACATTTGTGTAGCGGTCGCACCTCCTTCCAATGCAGGATCCACGCCACCTGTTTCGCCATTTCCCAACTTCCACCCGAGCCTCTCAATTGCAAAGAAGCTATGGCAAGAGCATTTAAGGAACAGTGGTTAGCAGCGGAAAAGGCAGAACTGGAAAGTTTACTCGACAGGGGGACTTGGACTTTGGAGCCATTACCCAAAGGAAAGAAGCTCGTGGGAGTGAAATGGGTCTATCGGGTGAAGGTGAAGGGTGATGGATCCCTGGACAAGTTCAAGGCTCGTTTGGTCGCCAAGGGATATTCTCAAGTTCCTGGACAAGATTACAATGAAACTTTTGCTTCGGTCGCCAAGTACACCAGTGTCCGCGCTCTTTAGTACGCGTTTACCCCCACCTGGACAAGTTCAAGGCTCGTTTAGTACGGATAGATCTCTACATCACTCAACTGGACGTCTCCAACGCCTTCCTTTACGGCGTTTTGGAGGAGGAGATTTACACGTCTCAACCTGATGGGTATCACGATGGTATTGAGAGAGTCTGCAGGCTGCACAAGTCCCTGTATGGTCTGAAGCAAGCTCCACGGGTTTGGTATCACGCATTAGAGTCTGCCTTGCTGGCACAAGGTTTCACACAGTCTGAGTATGACCCTGCACTCTACATCCTGCACACGGAGGTGCATGAGGTACTTTGGTTGATAGTGTATGTGGATGACATCCTCATGGTGTCAGGTTCTCTCTCCCTTCTCACCCACATCAAAGGTATGCTCACCAAGGAGTTTGTCATGACAGACATGGGTGAGCCATCATATTACCTTGGCATGAACATCATTCGTGACCGTCTTTCTCGCTCTCTATTTCTTTCCCAAGAGCGATACATTCAGAAGGTCCTCTCTCACTTCGGCCTTCTCACCTGCAATCCTGCATCTACACCTCTCCTTTCTACTTTTCAGCATTCTTCCCCTTCCACTTCTGACCATCAGCCCTCTCAGACTGAACCCTTTTCTGACTGGGACGAGTTCCACGAGGCTCTTGCACCTTCATCCTCTTCATCCCCTTCTTCTTCCAACGCACCTCCTTCATCACTCCTTTCCCCCCTCGACATTAATCTTTACCAGAGCATTATCGGTAGCCTCATGTACGCATCCGTCTGCACCCGCCCAGATCTCTCTCATGCTGTGGGCGTGCTTTCTCAGTTCCTTTCCGCGCCATCTACTCAGCACTTGAACGCTGCGAAGCGTGTCCTGCGCTACCTCTCCGGATCTAAATCTTTTGGTCTCTTCTTTCAAGGACATGAGCATGGTAATGTCTTGCATGGTTTCACGGATGCAGATTGGGCAGGTCCTCTTTCAAAGCGGAAGTCCACTGGAGGCTACATGTTTGTGATAGCGGGAGCAGCTATTTCTTGGCAATCGAAGAAGCAAGGCTGTGTGGCATTATCTTCAACGGAGGTGGAGTACATGGCTGTGACGCAAGGAGCAAGAGAGGCTGTGTGGTTGAGAGGGTTGCTGACGGAGTTGGGTCTTCCCCAGCATGAGCCGACCATTCTGCACATTGACAACACATCGGCGATCGCCTTGAGCAAAAACCCGGTCTATCATGGACGCACAAAGCACATTGATACCCAGTATCACTACATTCGAGAGCTGATTAAGAACAAAGTTGTGACACCGGCCTACTGCAGCACCACGGACCAGGCTGCTGACTTCCTGACTAAGATCCTCCCCCGGCACCTCTTTCTTCTTGGCCACCACCGCACCGGATTGATGCCGATCGAGTCTCTTAAGTGCTTCTCCAGTGCTGTCCCTTCCGCTCCTTCTTCTCGCTCTGAGGGTCAGCAGTGCGAGGGGGTGTTGGAATGAACTGCTGCTGCTGCTCGCGTGGCACCAGGGTGGCGGGAAAAATTTCACGTGGCGAAATTTTTCGCCACAGTTTCCCCGTCAGCCAAAATTCGAATCTACAAAGGGCATCTACCAACATTACCTATTCGCCACTTCATCATCCTTATCTCCAGTCAGCAAGGCACACTTCCATTTTCACCCAATACAAATCCTTCAATCCTCCACCTCATATCTTCTCCAATCCTCCTCAACCTTCTCATCCCAAACTCCACCAATCAATCCAAAGATTCCAAGCTCTCACAAGGCCACTTCAAAATCCTCCTTCTCATGCCCAACTCCTAAGGCTCCACTCACCACCAAACTTTCCCAATCCAAGCTCATAGCCATGTTCTCCAGCTCTAGAGAAGCTTATGCTTCATAGTCTTTCTACTAGATTGTTATCAATAGTTGCTCTTTAAGTCCATCATGTACCTCCTTTGGACTAGTGCATTTTAAGTTTTGAAGCCTCAACATCAACCTTTGACTTTCTTCTAATCAAGACTCAGTCTTCACCTTCAACACTCAAGCTTGGAGGTTCTTCTCTGCACAATAATCAAGATCTACTACTCAACAATCAAGCTTGGATCACACTCTCCTTCCAACAATCAAGATTCACGATTCAAGCTTAGCTTCTTCAAGTTACAAAGCTCCTTCAAAATGACAAGACTCTTTAAGGTAAGTCAACTCCTCCTTTCACTCTTGTCAAGTTTCTCAATTAAAGCTCCCTATTCAAAGCCTCTTCATTCTCATCAAGTCTCCTTTCTTCTCAAATCTTAGTTTCCATTATCAAGTTTGTTTAATTTTCAAGCTCTTTTACCTTTTTCATCAATTTCCCATTCAATATCTTTCTTTCAATCAATTGTTCTCTCCCTTTAATGATTTTATCATCTTCCTTTCAAGTTTGTTATTTTATCTTTAACCTTTTTAGCCTTTACGTTTTTACTCAATCTCTTCTTCATAGGTTTCTTTATCTCATCAATTTTGTCTTTCTTTCACTCTTAAAGCCGGCAGCCCAAATTGCACAACTTTTAAAAGCTTGACGCGAGGGGGTTTTTCTGGTCTGGGGTTTGGCGAACGTTATCGATTTCGGTTATTTCGCCCTGGGGGTTGGTTCAGTCCCCGAAATTCCCAAATTGCAGGCGCGCTTTTTTTAAAACCTTGCAAACACTAGTTCGTCAAGTTTTAAAAGCTTGACCCGCACAGCCCGCAATTTGGGCCGCGGGTTTTAACTCTTTCTTCTAGGAGTTTTCTTTCTCTCTACTTGCTATTTACCCTTCCTAATCCTTTACTTCAATTTCAAGACACCCTGGTCCTATTTTCGCTCCACTAGCGGTCCCTCGACACTGTTCACGCTCAGCTGCCTTCCGCTTCCTGTCCCGGCCAGCGACTGCGGTTCAGAGAGCCACACCCTCGCGCGTGGCGGAAAAATATACGGCATCGGCGGAGCATCATCACTCTGTTGCGCGCAGGCTCGCAGAGCGCTCCCCCCCAACAAAGAAGGGCCGCCAGCCAACCAAAAACATCAAAGTTGCCCTGCCTAGGCTCCCGCAACCGCTCCCCCACAAACAACTTTCCCGCAATCATTCCCCTCGCAATATTTTCCCAGCAATCTTTCCCCCTCCCCCTCCCCCATCTCCTATCGCCGTCCGCCATAGCTGTGAGGGGCAATCTCGAGAATTTCGTCTTGAAGGTAGCCGCATTTCTCATTCCGTACTAATTCTGGTCGTTCAAGAACGGCGGCTGTTGGCGATGCGACGCCGTGCAACGCGCACATTGTGTCGCTTATTTAGCCGCCTCGACGGCTCTTAGTCATGTTGCTTGTTCTGCCTGGGAAGTAGAGCGAAGACGCTCACATTGACTTCTGACTTGCGCTGGAACGTGGAAAAGAAGCGCCGCTCTATACTTGTGCACCAAGCCCATATGTTCAGGTCTCTTCACCGTTTCTTAGTCTGGTCCTTGTAACGACTGCCTTCAGCCGATTTTTACGTGGGCTGAACGAAGCTCTATTAGGTCTTACAAATTAGCCGAGCACCTGAACGCGTTGTAGAGATCCGCTTAACCGCAACAAAGTTGCCTTCATTTATTTATCGTATCCTTCAGTTCATTCGCCGAGAATGCGGCGCCTAGTCAGCGTGTTGCTACTAGTGACGATAGTGCTAATGCTGGTCGGGATCGACAGTCATGCTTCGGCTCAGAAGCTGTGCCTCGACTCGTGTAAGTTATGACCGAAAACATCCTTCACAATGCATTCCCGACCACTATTTCCGTCGTCCGTTCTTTTCCTTCGAAGCCTTGCGAAGATGCTCGAGTAAGTAATAGATCTGCTCGCGAGTCCGTCAGCCGTCAGCTTCCTTTCCGACTGTCCGTCGCCTTTCAGTCCGTCAGTTTTCAAACTTTCAGTCACACGTCAGTTCGTGCTTATTTTCCTTCAGGCACACGTCATTCCCTCGGCGTATATTCCTTCAAGCACACATTAGACCGTCAGTTCGTAATCCTTCAAACGCACATCCGTCCCTCGCGCTACATTTCTAAAGCATTCATCCCATCACTTCCATTCCATTGCCAACTGCGGATCAGCCAGCAGTACAACAACCAGAGCGGCTGCACAAACGAGCGCAACATTACCCTTAGAGTAAACCCAAATGCCACCCCCCTCGTTTTCCCTTCCCGTTCTTCACCTTCCTTGCTCCCTCCCATCAGCGCAACCGCAGAAGCCGAAGGACCAGCTGCAGATCTGCCGGCAGTACAGCAACGAGAGCTGCTGCACGAACGAGCGCTACATTTTCGTTCACATCAACCCAAAAGCAACCCTTTCCGCTCCCTCTTCCCCCGCTGCATCCCATCAGCGCAACCGCAGACGCCCAAGGACCAGCTGCAGATCTGCCGGCAGTACAGCAACGAGAGCTGCTGCACGAACGAGCGCTACATTTTCGTTCACATCAACCCAAAAGCAACCCTTTCCGCTCCCTCTTCCCCCGCTGCATCCCATCAGCGCAACCGCAGACGCCCAAGGACCAGCTGCAGATCTGCCGGCAGTACAACAACGAGAGCTGCTGCACGAATGCGCGGAACGTGAAGATCGCGGAGAATCTGCTCAAGTACAGCACCGCCATGGGCAACAACCCCGGCGCCAAGAACTGCCTCCGCGCGCTGGAACGCGTGCTGTGCGCCGTGAGTGCCCCGTGTGTGGTGCTGTACTGTTTGTGTGGACTGGAAAGGTCTGGGAATTCCTGTATGTGGAATGCAAGCAGTACTGCAAGAACGAGCGAAATGTGAAGGTCGCGCACAGCAACGCCATGGGCAACATCCCCGGCGCCAAGAATTGCCTCCGCGCGCTGGAACTCGTGCTGTGCGCCGTGAGTGCTGCGCATGTGGTTTGGGCTGGAAATGCCTGGGTGCGTATGGAGAAAGATATGGGTTCTCCTTGCCGTGAGTGCTGTTGTGTGGACGGTAAGGTCTGGGTATTCCTGTCTGTGGAATGCGAGCAGTGGTGCAAGAACGATAAAACGTGAAGGTCACGCACAGCAACTCCATGAGAGGCAATCCCGGTGCCAAGAACTGCCTTCGTGCGCTGGAACTAGTGCCGTGCGCCGTGAGTGCTGCTGTGTGGTTAGAGAGGTCTGGGGTCTCCTGTTTGTGGATTGGAAAGGTCTGAGCTCCCCTTGCTGTGAGTGCTGCGCGTGTGGAATGCAAGCAGTACTGTCTGGGACGTTGGCGGCATGGTTCCCATGCCCAACAACCCCTCTCAACGTCCCTCTTCTCCCTTTCCCTCTTCTCCCTTTTTCTTCCCCTCTCTCTCCCTCCTCTCCCTTCTTCCACCCTCCCTACCCTCCCCCACCAGGAGTGCGACCCCTACGCCTCGCAGGTGTACCGTCGCGACCACACAGGGCGCTATGCCGACGTGCCGTACCTCTGCACGGCCCAGTCGAACCGCGACCCTGTTGAGACGCAGCCCTTCTGCTCCACTGTCTGGGACGTCTGCGGCATGGTTGGCATGCCTTACAACCCTTTCGTCGCCACCAATGACCCTCGCTTCATCTCGCTTTACGACGTTTACTTAACTAAGGGCGAGTTTTGCCGCCGGTTCATGCCCCCGAATAAGAACCCCGGTGACGGGCCGAAGATTTGCTACCGGGGTAAACCGGTGGATTACCCGGATGAGTTGGGGGAGGATCTGTTGCCGCCCGTGAATAACATGTGTGTGGAGCAGATTGGGTTGAGTACAAAGAATGATAAGAGCGAGGAGAATAGTTACTATGTGGCCATGACCCCGCATCCGGACCAATCGCGGCGTGCGTTTTTCCTGGAGCGGGCGGGCAGGTTGTTTCTTTACAATCTGCCCGAGCCGGGGTCCTCGGACCAGCTTCCTTCGGATGGGGGCTCACCGTTTCTCGACATCAGTGGCTTGTGAGTGAACAGTGGGGGAGGGAGGGGATTGGGAGGAGAGGGACAGGAGGGAGTTGGACTGCGATGGAGGGGCCTGAAAGGGAGGAGACTGGGGAGGGATGACAAAGGCTAGGTTGTGATGGGGGAGGGGATGTGGGAGTGGAAGGGCGCATTGGGGTGGGAGGGCGCATTGGGAAGGGAGTTCAGCATTCTGTACCTTTGTTACGGTATCTCCTACGATTTGTATTGCACAGGGTGGCACAAGGTGGCGGAGCAGGGGGCAGGGGGGATCGCCTTTCACCCTGACTACACCAGCAACGGCCATCTCTTCGTCTCCTTCTCCTGCGACTTGTCAATCAACTCTGACTGCAAGCCCGCTGTCTGCGGCTGCAAGCTCACTGCTTTCCCTCAACGCCCATGCCTTCCCTCCCGGCCATCCCCCCTTTCCGACTCATGCATACAGGGTGGCACAGGGGGGGGAGCAGGGGGCAGTTGGTATTGCCTTTCACCCCGACTACCCCAGCAACGGCCGTCTCTTCGTGTCCTTCACCTGCGACTCCTCAGTCAACTCTGACTGCAAGGCTGCTGTGTGCGGCTGCTACAAAGGCGCTTTCCCCTCACCCCCATTCCTTCCCTCACCGCCTTCTCCCATCACAGGGTGGCACAGGGGGGGGAGCAGGGGGCGGTAGGAATCGCCTTTCACCCCGACTACACCAGCAACGGCCGCCTCTTCGTCTCTTTCACCTGCGACTCTTCAGTAAACCCCGACTGCAAGGCTGCTGTCTGCGGCTGCTATAAAGCTGTCAACTGCTCAGAGGAAAACGTTCAGGCGGCCAATCCGGACGGGCGCTGGGGCACGGGGGGCATGTGCCGCAACGTGACTGTGGTGGCGGAGTTTTCTGCGTGCAGTGACACCATCTGCACGCCTGCTAAGATCTCCCAGGTATGCAGGAGTGGGTGAGGGGGCAGCAGCACGGCTAGTGTGCTGTGCTGTGGTTGCCACGGGGGGCATGTGCTGCAACGTGACTGTGGTGGCGGAGTTCTCTGCGTGCAGTGACACCATCTGCACTCCTGGTCGCATCTCTCAGGTTCGTGTGTGGCTCACCCCTGAGTCGAGCCTGAAGCAATGTGGGGCACGGGGGACCTGTCACGGAACGTGACAGTGGTGGCTGAGTTCCCACAGTCCCGACAGTGGTGGCTGAGTTCCCACTGTCCCGACAGTGGTGGCTGAGTTCCCACTGTCCCGACAGTGCTGGCTGAGTTCCCACTGTCCCGACAGTGCTGGCTGAGTTCCCACAGTCCCGACAGTGGTGGCTGAGTTCCCACAGTTCCTACAGTGGTGGCTGAGTTCCCACGGTTCCTACAGTGGTGGCTGAGTTCCCACAGTTCCTACAGTGGTGGCTACTGTCCCTACAGTTCTCTGCATGCAGTGACACGCTCTGCCCGCCCAACAACAACGCCGGCCAGATCCGCTTCGGGGCGGACGGCATGCTCTACGTCATGCTGGGGGACGGACCCACTGTGGCGTGAACCACCCTGCTCGTATCCTCGCCTCTTCCCCTCTAACTCGCACCCTTCATCTGCTGCATCCCCCTCCACCCACCCTTCTGTGCCCCCTCCACAGCAAGCGAGCATCTCCGCCACGGTAGTGCGCTACATAGTGCGGCTGGGGCAGCCCTTCATCAACAACAACGGCGGGCAGATCCGCTTCGGTGCCGATGGCATGCTCTACGTCATGGTGGGGGATGGTGGGGGCGAGCTGGACCCCCTGGGGCTGGCGCAGAACCCCAAGGCGTTCCATGGGAAGGTGCTGAGGCTGGACGTGCTCAATGGCATCAGCCAACCAGGTGCGTGGGTGGATGGGTAAATGGGTGGGTGGGTGGGTAGAGACTTTGGATGAGGTGTAGAGCGGTGTGGTGTGGTGAGGTGTGGAGTGGTGTGGTGTTGAGTGGTGTGGTGCGGTGCTGTTTCCCCGATGCCAAGGGGCGCAGATGGCACGCTCTACGTCATGCTGGGGCATGGGAGGGGGGGGGTGGTGAGAAGGGTAAATCCCCCCTGCCACCAAGTTGAATCGTCCCCTCCTTGCCTTCCCCCTTCCCCCACCCCCCTTGACAGGTGAAGATGATATCAGGAGCAGGGAGCTGCTGGGGGCATACGGCATTCCCCCGGACAACCCGCACGCGCTCGACTGGGACTGGCGCGGAGAGGTGTTTGCACTGGGCTTCCACGACCCCTGGAAGTGCACCTTTGATCTGCTCAGGCCCTCGGTTATGATGTGTGGAGACGTGGGATGGGTGAGTCCTGCTTGAGGGTGGCTGGGATGTGGGGAAACGGTTCTGTTGGGGAGGAACTGGGAGGGGACAGCGGGAACTGGCGAGGGGAGGCGTTTTCCCTGGGCTTCCATGACCCATGGAAGTGCACCATTGACCTCCTCAGGCCTTCAGTCATGATGTGTGGGGATGTCGGATGGGTGAGTGCTGCTGCTTGTGGGTGGGATGGGAAAGAGAAGGGGAGGGGGGGATATTGAGGATGGCAGGGGGAGGTGTTTGCGCTGGGTTTCCACAACCCCTGGAAAGCCTATGGGGTATGAGGGTCGGGGATGCACCATTTTTTTCACTTTCCAGCTCTCCCCTTACCATTCACCCCCATCCTTCATCTGCCGCCGTTTGTGCACCAACAAACCAAGTGGGAGGAGGTCAATGTAGTGCTAACTATGGGTGGAAGTGGTATGAGGGTCGGGTGTATGCCGCCAACAACCCAGCTAGCATCGGCCAGCTAGCATCGGCCCGTACCTGACCACTACCGGCCCATACCTAAACCCCCTCCCCGTCTCTCACATCCTTTGTCGTCTGCCCCCCACTTCCTCCCCTCCCTTGCTTCACCAACAGACCAAGTGGGAGGAGGTCGATGTGGTAACCAGCGGCGGTAACTACGGGTGGAAGTGGTTCGAGGGTCGGGAATACGCCAATGCTAGCGAGCAGCGGCCCGTGCCGAACCAGAAGCTGCCGTCGTTTCAATACGTGTGGAGCAACACCAGCAGCGTGGTTGGAGGGTTCTACGCGAGAGGATACGAGGACGCGTGCTTATATGGAAGGTGCGATTGTGGGTGGTGACTATGTACGTGCCTGGGTCTGATACCTTTGTCTCGGGATCTCGAGGCTGATTCTTGTTGCTTTGTTCCCCTCCGAGGTCAATCGGCGCATATATCCTCAAAGTTTTACGCTTCCTTATTCTCAACGCTCAATACTCAATCCATCCTCTACCCTCAGTGCTCAATCATCATACGTTACGCTTGTCTTCTCTCGGCCTGACCCCAACCAGGTACCTTTTCAGTGACAGGAACAACCAGTTTTACGTGGCTACAGAGAATCCCCCTTATAGCGGCTACTTCCCCCTCGGTTCGCAACCCCTCAACGTTTCCTGCGCACCCACTTCACCCATCCAATGCCCGATGCAAGGCTCGTACCGGCCTAATTTCGGCGCGGTATTCGCCTGGGGGCAGGACGTCAATGGAACGCTTTACATCCTGACCCATCTGGGTGTTTTCCGGCTTACCCCGCCCACCGACTGCAACTTCACTTGCAGACAAAAGTTCCCGCCCGGCCCCGATCCCCGTGTGGATCCTGCGTCAGACCTGACTGTTCTGACCACGTATGATGCGAACACCACCCCGCTTCCCCCAGCCGGAGGTGGAGGTTCGGGAGGAGCAGGCTCGGGATCCATGCCTCCCACCACAGCTGGCAACAGCAGCAGTAGCAGCAGTGGTGGCACCCCCAGCAGCAGCAGCACTCCCAGCAGCAGCAGCAGTAGCAGCAGCAGCAGTAGCAGCACAACCACAGTTCAGAACACATCCTATTGGCTGAAAGTGGGCGGCATTGTTCTCGGGCTTCTCCTGTTTGTTGTCGCGATCTGCTGCTTCTGCCTCATTAGAGGATACCGCGAGGGCAAGAAGAAAGACGAGGCGTTTCTGGAATTCCAAATGGCAGACATGCAGCAGCCGCTGCAAGGGGAGGGTGACGAAGATGCTTTTTACGACGAAGAAGGAAATTATATTGGGCCGGACGGGGACGAGGATGAGGTGTATGATCCGAACGCGGTGCATGATGACGATGGTACTGGGACGTACTATAATGAGGATGGGGATGAGATGGGGCACCATGGGGATGGGGATACGGTGGTGGATGATGGAGCGACGGAGTATGGTCCGAGGAGTGTGCATAGTGGGTATGGTGGAGAGGGGGGGTATGCTGAGAGTGAGGTAGGGTCTGAGTATCCAGGGCAGGGGCATGGGGGGTATCAGGGAGGTGGGGTGAGGGGGGATGGGATGTCTGATGTTCAATCGGAGTATACGGCGCAAGATGATTGGACGGATGGAGGCTCTTACTACGATCGCCGCTGAAGGTGCAATGGTTGAGGTGTAATGTGGAAATTTACGGTAGTTGGTTGGATTGGGGTTGGGGATATGTGGAATAAGATCGTGGTCAGATTTGGTACTCGTCTTTCTAATGGTGGTGCACTCTGTGATTATAATGGGTGACCTTTGATTCTGTAGGGGGGTTGGATTAGAAGGGGGGAAGGGAAGGAGGGAAGGGGAAGTGGGGATAACTGAGGGAATTTGGGGCCACTGACATTTTGTTCCTCCCGAATTTTTCTTCCTTGGGTACTTCTATTCTTAATCACTCACAGTGTATCCTTTTTAGACGTACGCGATATTGCCGGCGCTGAAATCACCTTGTGCAGGTTTGTTCCAGTTCCAATCAGGTTTTTAGATGAGCCCGCTTCGGGTTTGCCGCTTGCATCATTTTCCGCTAGTTGCCAGTTCAGATTGCCTGTCATTTTGTTCATCGCAAAAGCTCGCAAAGATCGTACTAGTTACGTCGGCGCTGATGGCGCTCCGTCAGCCTTTAGGTGCCTCTGCGGGCGACCTCATGCGGGAGGACGCGCTCACGTGCTCCGAGCACATCCGGCTAGTAACGCGTATAGCCGCCGTGTACGGCGCGTTCGCCGCGCTTCCTTTCTGCGCGATGCTCTACGGGCCGCGTGTCACGCGGCCGCGGCTGATGCGGTGGAGTTTGGTGGGTGGCGCTGCGGCAGCGGGGTGTGCGCTTGTCCAAGCCGTGCTGTGGGAACCCGCGTGCGAACCCCAGAACGTCGCAGCGTATGAGAGGCGACGGTAGCAGCGTGCGACAGGCTACGGTTGTAGCGTACGACATTCGACGATAGCAACGTACGACAGGGACGATAACGGCGTACGACAGGCGACGACAGCAACGTACGACAGGCGATAGCAGCAGGCAGCGTACGCGCTAGTAGCAGCGGGGAGTGCGGCGGGGCAAGCATGGCTAGTAGCCGCGTGCGCGCTTCAGACCAGAACACATCACCCGGATCCGGTTCCCTGCTCTACGCAGCAGTGGGTGGGTTTTTAGGCGCCTCAAAACGCATCTCATTTTACGCGTGCGAGCTCAGACCAGAACAGAGAGCAGCCGTTGCTGATAACAGCGCTCTGGTGTGGTCCCAGCACTACGTGGCCTTGGGCGGGTGGGCCCTGCGTGAATCCGTGGTGGAGGTAGCTGGATAACGCGGTGAATGCAGCGACGAGTGCGGCGGTTGAATTGGCGGAAAGACTACTTGTGCTGCGGTGATTCAGCTGCTTAGGTAGGCCAGCTGGGACAGACAGCTGTTGTTTAGGATCAGCTTATTCCTACTACTCAGAATTCTCCAGCCTTGACTCTTAGCCACGCAATTTTTGTGTTCCTTGAGTACAGAAAACATTAACATGCAGCCACCAATGTACATTCGGATGTACACACGCAATCTAACAACTAACCAAGGTCACAAAAACATCCTCATTTGTCGCTCGGCGGAAGAATCATCCTCATTGGACGCAACTGCTTGTTGCACCGCCATCTCCTCCCCTTGCTTCGCCCCTTGTTCCCCTCCTTGCTTCTCATTCCTCTTACACGAACCACACACCTCCCACTCAATCGCACCCTCGACCTTCACCCTCTTCGTTGCACCCCCATCATCTCCTCCTCCTCTCCCCCTCTTCCCCCCCTTTTCCATCTCCCTTTCCCCCTTCTCTGCCCTCTCCCCCCGCTCCCCCCTCTCCCTCTCAGCCAGCTGCAGCTTGAGCCGTTTATTCTCCGCAGCCAGCTGCTGGCAGCGCTGCCTCAGCCCCTCAAGCTCCGCCTCTGTCTGCTTCACCTTGGTGCGCGCCCGCCGGTTCTGAAACCACACCTCCACCTGCCGCATCCGCACGCCGAGCCTCTCCGCCAGGCTCGCCTTCTGCCGAGCCACCAGCTTCGGGTGCTTCTGAAAGACTTGCTCCAGCATAGAGATTTGATCCTGCGATAGCCGCATTTTCCTCTTGTTGCCATCACCCCCATCGCCGTCCGCGTTGCCGTTGCTGTTGCCGCCCCCACTGCCGCCCTCCGATGCTCCTCCGTCGTCCCCTTCCCCGCCGCCCGCCATCTCGTCTCCGCCGCCCTCTCCCACCTCCCCCATGCCTTCCGCCGCCTCCACATCAGGCTGGCGTTCAAGGTCCACGTCAGCATGCACGTGGCTCATGTATCTCCCAACCAATGAGCGGAGATCAAGTCCACGTGGCGATAAAGCTTCCTTAGCCGAGGAAATGGGAGCAACGGGCATGAAAGAACCTTCAGCTGCAATGGCTGGGGTCTCAAATACGCTCCTAGGCTGCCATACGTCAGCAGCGCCAGCACCAACAGAAGCAGCAGCGGCAGCAGCAGTGGCCATTCCAGCAGCATCCGCGCAAAAGCTACCCTCCGCCCTCGCGCTCAGAAGTTCCGCCAATCTCCTCGCCATCCCCGCAAGCCCCGCCCCTCCCGATCCCCCCAGACCCAGCTCCGCGGATGCACCGTGGGCCATAGCAGCTAGGGCGGAACTAGCGTTAGCTCCCCGCGCGACGGGGCTCGGCGCGCTGAACTCGCGCAAAGAGGAACGCGAGGGCGTGGCGGAAGCGGCGGCTTCCGCGGCGGTCGCGAACTCAGTGGCAGCGGCGGGGGCTAAACTAGATCTGCGGAGGAGGGCTGCGGTTAGCGGCGAAGGGGCGTTACCAGCAGCTGCGGGAGTCGCGAAATTTGCGAAATTTGCGGCGGGCGGGGCGCTCCAGAGACGAGCTAGTAGCGAGGCAGCGTCAACCCTGGTTGACCCATCCATAAGATTTGACACGCTTTGCGAATTTTGGCTTGGAGATTGAAGGGCGGCGGCAGCTGATGCCGCTGCTGGCACTACGGAAGCCGCTTTTTCTGCTGCTGACGTCACTTGATCGCTTTCGCGACGAGCCTCGTTTTGATCACGAACGTGAGCCTCGAGGCTTCCGTGTTGGCTGTATCGGTTGGGTGCGGTGAAGAGCGGCGTGGAGAGTTGGTCCTGGAGTTGCTGCTTGTGCTGCTGCACCTGCACGAGCTTCTGGTGGTGCTGCTGCAGCAGCCGCAGCAGCTGCCGCTTCTGCTCCTCGTTTAAAGCCTGAACCTGAGCCTGAGCCTGCGCAAGTTGACCCGTCTTCGCCTGCGCCTGCGCCTGCGTCGGACACGAGTGGAGGCTCATGGTGGCAGTTAAGGCGGTCGGCGCTCCGGGTATACTCTGCTCAGGCGTCGACGGAGACGGCGGAGATGCCGGCGTGAGTGGCGCAGGATCGGGAACAGCCTGCGACTCGCCATGGCTCCTGTCAATTTGACCGCTGAAAGGAGTCGGCAAGTGATAAGCGGCGGAGTGCGTTTTTTCGGTTTTTGCTGGTTCGGCGACAACCGCGGGTTTCGCGCTGGGGGTTGCGGCGAGGAAATTCCTGTCACCATTGCCGGAGCTTAGGCCGAGAGATAGCCCGAGGTTCGCGCCGCAATTTCCGGAGGTCAAACCGTGAGAATCGTTCGTGTCCCTCCGACGTGCCGGAATCCCCCAAGCCAACTGAGGTTCGTTGAGACAGAACGCCTGCACGGGAGGAGAGAAAGGGGAAGGAAAGTATTAAAAGTTGTTGAAAGGTGGTGAGAACAGTACTTACCATTGCGGTTTTTCTTGGTTAGTACTTGGAAGAGAAAATGTGCTAGGATTGACTGAATTATCTTACCATTCGAACAGCTGGAGTGACAATGCCGTCGGTCCGTTCGTCCACAGAGTCGTTTTAGAGCATTTGCAAAGCAGTCTAGGTCCAACGAGCCAGCGACGAACTATTGATATCAGCTGACCAAGTCCCAGAACTCTCAATTGACAAATTAACTCGTTAAATGGAGAAAAATATGTCTCATGTAAGGTGTGTTGTGTATGCTTGACTGGGCTAGAAAAATGCGACGCAGGCACTAGAAAAGCTGTAATTGACTGAACACCGTGTTCCATATATTTTGGCTCAGACAAATCGGTACGGAGCTTTCTAGTTTCAAAAGAATCGGTTGCGTACGGTGGAGCACTCCAAACCCTTCTAAGATGAAACAAGCAGTGTTATGTTCTCTGATGATACACGTGTGGATGAGCAGTCAGGTCAAATCGCATCCACTCGTCACAGCGACATCAACCGCCAGAAGTAAACTTTTAATTGGGAGAAATTATATGGGCAGTCAAATTTAAACCCAGTTTATCATCTTTGGTTACAAGGGTATAACAAACAGTCTGAGTACAGTAGATTTGTATCGTGGTTGATCACAGTACTATCACGGATGGTCACACATCACCCCGAAATCACGTTTGGTCACTTGTTGAAACCTTGATAGAAAGTTGAAGCTACTCCAAGTCACTGTAGGGATTCAAGGAAAGTTTTCTCGCGCGCAGTTTTGTCCGTATTATTACGAAATAGTTTCGCGACAACTCTCGGTAACTCGCTAGAACAATTTCTTTTTCTTATTCAATTTTACACTGCTCGATTGATTCATAAAGACCCTAAAAATATCACTTTTAGACGGGGGAAACTTGAAAGATAATTTCTTTCCCAAAACCCCTGAAAACAACTAAAACCCGTTCGGATGGGACATGATTCGGGATGTGATACCCCTAACCACCTTGTCGCATGGTGTTTAGGTTGATGCCTCCCAAAGAGCACGCTATCTTATAGGGGTTTCTATTTTTTCCTTCAGTCCCCTAAATGTCATGCTAGAATCATGCGCGAGGGAACAAGCAATCAAAATCGAGATTCGCCAAAAATCTCTACAGATTCTTTTGTGGTTTCAATTTTATTACTGTCGTTTCATCAGGTGACCAAACGTGATAGCTTTTAGGGGCGAGGTGCGACTATCCGTGATAGCACTGTGATCATTCGCGAATGAAATCTACTGTAAGGTGACTGTTCGTGGTACCCCTGTAACCAAACGTGATAAAACGGGCACAATTGTGATTGCTCTAATAATTTCCTTTAAATTGGGACCTGCGGTTAACTGATTGCTTACTCTTGCGGTGGATGCCACATCGACATGCAGAAGCGAGCCCAAAAGACCCGAACAGCGACGAATTGAACAGTACACCCTGTTTCTCGACCCTCTCACCTTGCGCGATTCGCTGCTACAGTGCGGTCAGGTGCCATAAACCGTATGGCTGAAACCTGCGGGCAAAGCCGCACCAGCTGACGGAGTGGTACTGGGGGCAAAATTTTTCTTTATCGCTGTATACCCTTTTCAACCGCTTTGAAACGCTTGGTTAATGTTCTTTACCATGCAGCATCCTAGCTAACCGCTTTCTTGTGAATGTGCTTGTACCGTCGGTGATAAGACCATTTCAAACGTGGTGACGTTCTACAGCCTGTGCATGTTCTGCAACCAGATGCTCTGCTAGCGCGAAACAGGGTGTATATTGGGCGGGCAGGTGGGAGGCATGCTGTTGCTGCCGTCGTTGCGTCGAATCGCCTCACACGAGTCATTCACCGTGTGTGAAACAAAGGTGCAGCCAATCGCGCGACGATCATCGATAACGGGTGACGCTTGTTGTCTTCGTCATCATCTGAGACTTGGGGAACTGTGACTCTGGGCTGGAAGAGATGGCAAATGCGGTAGGTACAGTCAAATAGTCGTTGCATCACTGTGAAGCAAGTCGTGACAGGCTGTTCTGGGGATCTACAGCATACGCACCTTGCAGCGCGTCTCGTTCACCCTGCAATCAGATGTCAAGTTCCGAAATGACTCGCCTGTCAGAAGGTATTATGCACACAAAAATCATCACACAGATCTCCCTGCACTTCAAGCCTCGGTCCAGGCCCCTGGATTCGGCTTGTTCGAAAACTTCTAATGTGCAGTTCTGTAAGCTAGGAAAGCACAGCCTGCGTATAGAAAATATGTTCCCACGCCATCGCAGCAAAGTATTCGTGTTTGTGTGAGCCATCCGCAACCATGGTTCGTTGAACTACCCGCATGTTAGTTTCTCCAAAACACTGACTCCGACTGTGCCCGGATTTTCCTACATGCAACATCGCCACAGTTCCAATGTTTGTGAGAAGCGGTTTTTTTTGGCAGGTTTTCTGTAGAAACTCATCCAGCTTTGGGCCAGCTGGTCGAGACGCCAAGACAAGAAGACAACAGCACAGCTTCTATCCAGCTGTATGATTGCTTTTGGCTTGGCAATCATCGGGTGGCATGTCAACGGAGTGTCGATTGGGAAAGTTGAGCCAGCAGTCGCAATCGCACAGTGATCAAATGTGGCTGCATTCGGTTCGCTGGGGGGGGGAACAGAAACGTTGGTGGTTCGAGGGGGCCAGTGAGACAGCTTCGGTTTGTTGCAAGTCTCCATGCCGCCCCAGCCACGCGTCGCGGACAAAAGCGACATCGAAATGAGAAGAACAAGAAATGACAATTTTGCGACCGTCAAACATGACGTAGTGATACTGTTTGCATTTATAACGTACCTTCGTCGAAGCCCATGTGCGACAAGGCCGGATTTCAGGCCAAGGGATTGTAGCTGATTCGATCGATGTGAAGTGGATGAGCTGAGTTGGAAACAAACTGAATGGTGTCACCCAGCAAAATACGTCATACTGAAGGAATTTTCTCGATGTTCCTTAGTGCGCCCTGCAACATCGCGCAGAGCAGCAGCCATTGTTCGCCCGTTACTGCTAACGGGGCTTAGCCGACTTCGCGCGCACTGTTTTCCCAAACCTCGCACTGCTGGACCGGCCGTATCGGCCTACGCTTCGAGACTAGCCCGAGCCTCGCTTCCAGCGTAGCACTAGCTAGCTCGCACGCACCGCGTTACCGTTTGCATGTTTCGCGTGTAAATGTTCGCTCATGCCTTCGCTCACATTTTGTACTCGTTTGACACCTTAGTGCAATTCTCGCTACTTCGATTCATTGCACCCTTAACATTTGGTATTCAGAGCCTCTTTCTTTTCGGGCCGCGCATCTCCGCACCCCAGGAAATCAACTTTTGAA